TGGGTGTAGATCATGATGCATCCCAAAAGTGTATCATCCAAACATATGTGCTAATTTAAATCATATATACTCCACAATCTTGATAGTGATTAGGATATACTGTAAAAAATATAATCAAGTGCGGATTTTACCCTAACCCAATCTACATAGCAGATTTTACTAGCCCACAACTCAGATTTCATCTTGTTCTAAAATATTAATTTTAAGGCTTTTGCATATAATTCGTATGAGACCATTTCTCTGTTAAACTGAGTGCAAACTAATCCTTATTACTGTATCAATTCAGGTAACAGAGAATAGATGTTGATCTAACATATTATCAGTTTGGTATCGAACATGAGATCCTCAGAAGTAACACAGGGCTGGATGAGTAGAAATAAAGAGAACAGTGATTTTATTAAAGAAGTTCAACTTAAATCTGCCAACTATGATGCTACAGTATATTCGTATGAAACCATTTCTCTGTTGAACTAAGCTGCAAACTAATCCTTATTACTGTATTAATTCAGGTAACAGAGAATGGATACTGATCTAACACATTACTAGTTTGGTGTCAAACATGAGATCTTCAGAAAGTAACACAAGGCTGGATAAGTAGAAATAAATAGGTTAGTGATTTTATTAAAGAAGTTCAACTTAAATCTGCTGACTATAATGCAATTTTCAAACCTTTGCTAATACAGCTTTTTTAAACCTGTGTCTATTAATACTGGTTTAACAGATTCTTTTCAGTACAAGTAGGTATTCATGATTCCTATGAGGCATTATATTAAAATATCAATTAACATTCACAAATTCAAAGGTCATATCATAATATATGTGCAAAATTTATTATTATTTTTTTTTATCTGTCGTAGGTATTGAGTCATACATTGAAAGTGTGGAGCCTTGGTAAGTTAAAAAAATACTGTGCTTAATTTATACCAATTCAGTCAGTTTACCAATAAATCAATAACAATTTACAGAACTTGTACCAATTAGTTCAGAAGAAAGCCATGCTTCAAAGAAGATTCCAGAGTATTTAAAACAAATGCTTGTTTTTTCTATCTATTCGTAATATAGTTAGAATATGCAATACTTTACGTTCTTTAATTTAGGAAAGAAGAAGCTTATATATGGGTTATTGCATAATATTATGAGTATTCGGGCCAAATATTTTAAATTGAAATATCGATGTTTAATCAATTTTAATAATTAAGTTAAAATTAGAATTTTGAAAACTTTGAATGAGATTTGTAGTAAGTTGTTATATAATATTATATAATCAGACTTGTATTAATGGTAGAGTATCTACTCAAAAGTATAGTCCAATAAATTATCAAAGTTTGAACAAAAGTCTCTAAATACTCATAATATTACGCAGTGACCCATATGCAATCTTCGCAAATACTAGTAAAAAACTTGATATTCTTTTATCTCTATTAAGGATTTTTTTTGAATTTAGTGATCAGGATTTTGATAAGGATTATTTATCCCTTTTTATATATTATTTAATAGTAAAAGATGACTTGCATATTTTTAGATGTCTAGAGCGAATCGATTTACTTTTTTCGATTATTTTAGCATAATTCTATTCTTAAACCTGTTTATAACAAAGTTATGTTAAAATTTTTTTTAACATTGATATTTAAATTTCAAGTTGACTTTTTACAAAAATTCTGATTCATATTGTGAATCGATTTAAAGAAAGATGTTTTCGTTATAGGTAAAAAAATTTAATACTAGAACATAACATTTTTTAACATAACTTTGCTATAAATGTGTTTAATAATAGAATTATGCTAAATTAATCGAAAAATGTAAAGCAATTCGCTCTAGACATCTAAAAACATGCAAGTCATCTTTTATTATTAAAGCATATATAAAAAGGAATAAATAACTCGATCACAAAAGTGATAAATAACTTGATCACTATCCAATCGCAAATTCAAAAAAATCTTTAATAATTAATTTTTTGTATATAGTTTTGTCCAATTAGACACCCAATATTTTATCGACTGGCAAGTAAAATCAATTGAATAAATATTATGTGCTATGTATACAGAATTTAAGGTGTAGTATTATTTATAAAGTAAATGCATATTAATTTATTAATTAATGTAGCGAGAAAAATACAGGTTGCTTTTTAATGCACAAATTATAAGTAAATTGTTATGTAGCGATAATACAGTAATATATAGTATAGGTTGTTTTTGTAATATCGCAAACTATAAGTTATATATATAAATCAAAATTAAGTAATATAGAGATAATGGTGTATAACGATGAGTTTTTTTGACTTAAAGAATAAGGTCCAAAATTTGAAGGGGTGATTTTTTAGAAAGTAGAAAAAGAAAAAAATTTAACAAGATAAAAAAAAGAAAATAAAAACGAGATTATAAAAATAAATAATAAAATAAACAAAAAGCTGAAAGACCAACACAAAGTGAAAACAAGAATACAATAATCACTTTTCATTTTGAAGAATTGAAAAAAATCACAATCAATTATATATACATATATATATATATATTTTTTAAAAAAAAAACATTTAAAATTTTTTTTTTAAAAAAAAAAAACCAATTAAAAAAAAAAAACAAAATACAAGAATTTTTTTTAAAAAAAATCATTTGTTATTGACTTTTCTTCTTTTTTGCCCTTCAAATTCCATTATGTGACTTTCAAGCTCATGGAACAGCCTTTCAAGCTGTTGAACTCAGTTTTTCAATAAGTCACGAGCAGGGCAGTAGCAGAGGTAGAGGTGACCAAGTATCCTGAAGCAGAGGCAGAGGCGACCAAGTGTCTTGAAGCAGAAGCAGAAGTGACCAAGTGTTCTGGAGCGAAGACAGAGGCAACCAAATGTTTAGAAACAGGAACGACCAGATTACTGGGACAAAGGTACTATTATTAATATGTTAACATTATTTTTTTTTAAATTTAAAAATAATATACCAAGAAAAATCAGACTTAGGGTTTTTAAATTTTATCTCAACAAAGGTACCTTTCTTAGGAGACTATCGATAATGCTTTGCTCTCTGGAATTTTACTGAAAAACCAAGAAGCCCATTGTAGGGTCCTCCTTGCAATGAATAATAAAATTGACCTGCGTCTTCATAGAAATCAAAATATATATGAGCGAATCTAAAAAAAAAAATAAAAGTAAATAAGTAAATTAATTAATAAATAAATATAAATATTTTTTGGCAAATTCTATATTAACTCATATTTTTTTAATTTTAGGCATCTTGAGATACGAGAACCTCAATGGCGTAAAACTATAGATCCAGGTATCCCAATCTTTTTTATCAATAATTGTATTTGACAAAATTAAAACAGAAAGTTTTAGATTAACACAACAAGAACAGTTAGTTACTATATGCAAAGTAAAATGTTAGTTGGGTTTCTGTAAAAAAAAATAAACAACTGACCCTTTTTTCAGAGTTAGTAAACCCCTGGTATAAGAAAGTAATTTTCTTTTACAGAATTGATCTCCATAATGAGAGGGTTCCGCAAGGAAAAAAAACACGAAATTATACAGATATACAACACACAAAACTCAGATGGGTACTTCAAAAAAGGAGTTAAAAGTATAAAGTAAGTAAAAATACCTACCTACAACTATTCTTGTTAGGTTGTTTGCTTGGGCTTTGGATGGTACTTTGGGCGTTTGGGCTTTGGATGGTGCTTTGGTCTTTAGATGGTTTATTTTAAGCTTTGGGGCTTTGGATAGTTCACTTTGGGCTTTGGATGGTTCGCTTTGGGCTTTGGATGGTGCTTTGGGGCTTTGGATGATATGTCTTCTAAATTTACACAACAAAAAAAACCGATTTTATATAACAAAAAAAGATCTTACTGATCAACCAATGAAAAATACAGATTTTTAGATCAGATAGATCAGGTAACATAAAAATCACACTTTTGGGAAAACAATCACATAAACAAAATAAACAAAAAACCCACTTACAAAAAATTTTCCGGTACGTAAATTTAGCCAATTAGATAAAAGGATTAGGTATAACATGAAAATCGTGTCTTTTTAAAAAATCACTCATAACTTGAAATTTTATCTATGAAACCGCCTTCTGCTTCTAACAAAAAAAATTCCTTGTGAAATTTTGGTACAAGCTATCAGCTATGTACTTTCTTGGCCTTATTCCTAATCCTAAAAATGAGCTTATTACTTTAAATAATTCGATTGTTTTGATTTTACATTACTCCTGATCCTTCGATCTAATTGGCTAAAAATCACATTTCAGAAAATCATTACAGAGAAACTTCAGCATAGCGGGCTTTCATTCTGATTGGCCAATTTTTGTAGAACATCTGTTGACATAACAAAATTCTGATTGGCTAATAGAAAACGAGTTTGAAGTAAAAAAATTTTAGAAATTATTAGACAAAAAGACACATTTAAATTATAAATTTGAATTTACAATCACAATTTTAACTCATTGATCTTTATATTTATTGTTAAATGCATATCTGGTTAAACTTAATAAAAAAAAAAGTCTTCAATCTTAAAATACAAATAAAGATAATTTTTAATAACAAAATCACTTTCTAACTAGTACATA